TCAACAAACCTATGTACAGATCTTGCCGGCAGGTTCTGGTCTACACAGGAGTGTTACGACAGTGGAAAGCCCAAGTCAGTCAACGTACTAAACGGATGCAAGTCAAGAAATTAAAAAGGGGGACCCAAACTGAGGTTCCATTATTAGTGGAGTCTTGTCTTGTGCACGGCCGGTGGCCATCCCTATTGGAGACCCCCCCATTAATCATTACATATACAGTGCATCTGGAAAATTTACACCCAAGAATTCAAAAGATGTCAATCATGTCATCTCACATTGGTCCTTCTTTATCCTCTCTCTCCGCGTTTCTTCCACACTCTCCACGTGATCGTCGGGTCCACATCCCATCGACAAAGAAATCCATCTCTTTCTCCCTCCCTCCCTCTCTCTCTCTCTCCCTCCCTCTCCATCACTTCCTTCTGATACACCATCTTTCTTCTTAATTTCTTCTTCGTTCTTTCCTCCTCCCTTCTTCTTCTTCTCCCTCTTCTTTCTTCATGGCCCCGCGATCATAGTAAAATTTGATGTAAAGTTTTGAGGAAGAGTATCAAGAATTAAAAACTAGAAAAACGAATGACACAAGGTACATAGGTGTGGAATTGAGAGGAAAAATCATGTCCCTCTCAGCTTGTGAGCAATGGAAACTTGGGGCTTCATATGTGGTGGACCATCAACAAGAATATGAACAATCGATAAAACAAAATCAATGGAGTCGAGAATGTTATACTAATAGCGAATAGGACCCAACATAGCATCTTCATTTCTTTCTAGCAAGATATCATCTTAATTGACGACCCTTATCATTAGCTATCGACATAACATCGTTTCATATTTTTGGAGAAGTTTTCTTAGATAAATAAGGTTTTCATATTTTTGAAATATTTATGATGTTAATTTGTTTTCTTTTTTTTCAAGATGACACGGAAGCCATCTTAAGAATATGTGCAGATCTTGAATCGAAGTGAATTCATGTGAATTAAGAATGGAATGGATTTTGATTATTAATGATTGCACACATTCAATTTGAAGGAAAATAAAAGTTAAGAAATTTAAAGAATTATCCACTCTATGCTATTATTATTGAAGAAATTTCTCAAGAAGACGCTAGAGCAAAAGATTTGAACATTATCATGGACTAATATCTTTGGAGGTAATCTCAGGAGACTTCAAAGTCACCAAAACCAAAAGTTGGTAGGGCTCACCGGGAAACGATCATAGTTTAATTGATGTGAGTAATGACCAAGCCAAGATTTAGATCGACGGCGAGTGAAACTTTTGACGAAATATGGAGTCTATTTTTTATTTTTACTTGAGAATTTTGAGTGAAGTTATATTATTTAGATGAAAAAATTACCAAAACAGTTCAAAACGTATTATATATACCAATTTAATTTTAAATATTTTGAATTTTATTATATCATTTTTTCGAACAATTTATGCCTGAAAATATTGACATAACGGTCCAATTATCTCCGATTGTTTTACGTGGCATAATAAAAACTGGTGCGGAAAAAGTTAAGCGAAACGGCATTGTTTTGAGTAAATTTTCTGAAATTTCTGTTTTATTTCTTTCTTTCTTTTTATTTTCTATCCATTTCCCCGCAGCTGTTCATCTTCTTCTTTGGGTGCTCATCCGATTTAGCCATCAATTCTCTGCTCTAACACTCTTGGCCTTTGGACAAGCGAGTTAGCTTCTCAAACTCTTGCTCTGTTGATTTCGTAACAGCTCACCAAATTTTGTTTTATCTTGCTGATTCTTCGTGCCTGCGATGCGTGCTTTGTGTGTTCTAGAATCGCACCGTATCTCGTCATCATTCGTTGAAGCTCAGTTTTGCGATTGATCGGGGCGGTTCGGAGAACGATTACTTCGTCAAGGTCTTCTGCTTGAAGATATTGAATTCGAGAAGAATCATCTGGTCCGTCTGTCTGTATGGATTTTGTTGCTGCTTCGGAGTTTGACTTGATTTAGGTTTGAAGTTCCTTGCGGTTCTTGTCACGAATTTGGAGTAGAGATGTTTGTCGAGGGATCTTCTTAGTGATAAGGAGGGTCCTCTGGCATTCCAGATATTTTGATACGGCAAAATGTATGGTCTCTTTTAGGGATGTCAAAAGAACCCGCTCAAACGTGACCCGACCCGACTCGACCCGATCCAAACACGAAATTTTCTTATTGGGTCTGGTTGAGTCTTAACTTGTTTGTGTAACAATAAAAAGAATTGAATATTGTTTGGATTTATTGGGCTTAGGTACCCAGGCCCAATCCAAACGATAAGCCAACCCAAACAATAACCAAAACCATTAAGATCCATCCTCCCCAGGACCCTACCGCCGACTTCTTCTTCCCCGAGTTCCGCCGCGCCGCCGCCGCCGGCAACATCACCCTCAGCGGCCTCGCCAAGATCAACGGCCGCGGCGTCCTCAAGCTCACCAACGAGACGACCTGTTTCTACCCTAGCTAGGCGGTGGAGGATTTCATCCTTCTGCCGGAGACCACGCTGCCCGACCAGATCTCGCGGCCGTCGCGCACCTCCGGAAATACCGCATCATCCTCGAGTTATGCACAGCGAAATCATCGACCGGCGATAACAATGCCGCCGCCGCCGTCTCTGTACCTGGGAACCACCATCGCAAGCGGTCCAGAGACGCCATCGGCGACGACCTCTTGAGCGGCGATCGCTTCTCGGCGACTCACGATCCTCGCAAGATGACCAAGGCGTCGCCGTCTCGCGGGCACGAATCGGAGATCGACCCTTTGATTTCCCAACATGTATGTAACGACCCTTCTTTCCTCCTTTCCTTTTTCAAATTTTACCTTTTCTTGTCGTCCTCGTCGTCGTCGTCGTCAGTTTATGTTGTTTCGACAAGTTTTTGATGGACTGATTAGGGTTTATGACTTGGTTCTGGGATTTCCAAAAGCAAAACCCTGACAACTTTGTTCTTGACTTCTTTACAGACGCAGGAGCTGGCCAAAAAAATCAAGGAAAAAGACCAAGAGATTGCGAAGATGGGGCAATTGAATCGCCTCCTCTGAGAGCAAGTGAAGTCCCTGTTGTCGGAGAACCGCATCTGGCGAGGCCTTGCCCAGGACAACGAGGCTGAAGCCGATGCCCTCCATTCCAAACTCGAGCACACCTGCGGCGGCGGCGGTGGGCTCGTCGTCGACACGGAGTCCTCCTACTGCGGTAACAACGATGTCGGGACGGCGGGCTCAGAAGGTGGCGATGCCGCAGCGGCGGTTGAATCACTTAGGCTGGGGCGGTGGTGCGCGGGGTGCTGCTGGGAAGATGATGAATTCGGGATCCGCAACAATGGCGTCTCTCTCTCTTTATCTCTATCTCTGAATTCATTGTTTGAAACACAAAACCCAACCCGCCCCGACCCGACATAATCCGGCCCGATCGTGTAGCTTTATCTTGTTCGGGTCTTGTCTCGGGTCGAGTCGAACACATATGTCCAATATTTGGATCGGGTCGGGTATCATGAAAATCCGACCCGACCCATTGATACCCCTAGTCTTTTTAACGCAAAAGTAGATTTATTGAAGAAGAACGCGCAAGGAAGAAGATGAACAGTAGCGCAGAAAAAATATAGAAAAGAGAAAAAAAAAAAAAGGAAAAAAGTAAAAAAGAAATAAATAAATCAGAAAATTCCGTAAAATCTGCAAAAGGACGTCATTGTCCGTTATTTCTTCCACATGCCGGAGCCACATTTGCGGATTTTGCCTGCAATTGGTTGGAATGACAATATCGAATTTCGTAAAAACATTTAAAATTATATTGATAAAAATAAATAATTTATGATTGAATTGGCATTTGTATAATAAGTTTAAGACTAAATTGCTAATTTTCTTCTGTACAATGAGTTTAAAAAAATACAAGTATAATCCAAAATTTTGTAAATTTTGTTCTCGATTCTTTATAGGAATCTAAACAAGTATAAGGGCAAGAGAATACTTTTTTTTTATGATTCTTGGTGATAATTATGTAAAAATATATATATTTTAAAGCTATACCTTTTCCACTAAAACATTCAATTAAGTAATGTCCGCTTCATCCCTATTTAAATTGTTTCTAAAATGGAAAGATATACCTAAACAAGTACCCATTTTGCATCCAAAACCTATATATAGTGTTCATTGAAAATCACAATTTCTTAGATTAAAATAGTACGAAGAAAAAGATAATAAAATAGAATTGTCAATACAGATAAAGTAAGATGACACTATGTCATCAGATTACATCTTTGTAATTTTACATATTTGCCCATTGAATACAACATATTGCAATTTACCCAAAGCAAACTGACATGGAATTTGTAGAGTTTTTTCAAAAAAAAAAAGGTTGGAGCAATAAACTCAAGATGAGATTAATTTTTATATAGCAGACATTTATTTTTTTCTTATATCTATATAGTACTTATAAGAAAAGAAATTGGGGAAGGGGGCGCCTCTCCCTTCCCTCCGTGGCTGATGTCGAGTATACAAGCCAGGTTGATGAAGTTTCATTAAAATACTCGGAAGTTCTACAAACCCGCCAATTGAATCACCATAGTCGAGTCATGATTTTTAAGAGGAAATTGTAGTTTTGCGATCTTGTTACTCGTCAGTAATTTCATGTTACTCTTAAACAGAATATGAGGTCTTTCAAGTATAAACTACACAGACTTGTTTCATCCAAGATCTTCATTTCCATTTTTCATAAAAGTTGTTTTTACATAGATAGATGGTGTCTACTTTGTAAAACATATACATAGATGTCTTCTCTGAAATTTATTTCCATAGTTGAAATCAGCAAGAAAGGCATAGGCTGGTAATAGCACCTCAAGTAGCGAGATCACAAGTTTTTATTAGCATTTTAATTGGGATTACCCTAAATCATGTAATGACGAAGGAAAATTCTCTATGTTAGTCACTTTTCCCACCGTTTTTGTCCTTACTTTCTTACCAATTTGTTTGTCCTCTGAGAAGGAGGATGAAAGAGAGTACAACCCTATGAAATAGAATAACACAACATTAACCTTAGAGCTAGAAAAGGACAATCTCGAAAATAATCCCTGTGGAGCTAAATTAGCCCAAGTCCCTCCCAACATAATACTAGATTATCAGGACATATAACAAAATACGCAACACTATTCCAATCAAACCGTGCATGATTCTCTAAACAATATCGCTATCTCCAAAAGGAAAACTAGCAGAAATTATTTGAGCACTTGATGAAGTTGAGAATGTTTCTAGTTCCATCTCAGCTTTATCATTGTTCACTGGCTCATCTGGCGGGTAAATAAGTGGTTTTGGAGGCATTTGAAGTTTACCAATATCTCCTTCAAGCATCTCTAGGACTTTGCTCATTGGAGGCCGATGGTCAGGGTTTAATTGGATACACCAAAGTGCAACTATGATCATCTTTTTCCTCACCATCCTTTCCTCTTCTTCAACTTCTTCTATTTCAACTGTTTCTCCTTCATGGACTTTGTCATACACCCACAAGGGAAAATAAATTTGGCTTGAGCGTTCTGCATTTGCATTTATATTCTTCCTTCTACCTGCCATTTCCATGAGCAGCATCCCGAAGCTATAGACATCCGCTTTATAAGATACACCGCCAATGTTTTTGTAGAACAACTCAGGCGCCATATATCCCAAGGTTCCTCTTGCAGCAGTCAATGAGACTATGTTATGATCAGTAGGATAAAGTCTCGCTAGTCCAAAGTCGGAAACTTTTGGAGTGAAATTTTGGTCTAAAAGAATGTTGTGAGGCTTGATATCAAAGTGTAGTATTTGCATGTCACACCCACGATGTAAGTATTCAATCCCCCTCGCCACCCCAAGAGTGATCTCATATATTTTTTTGTAATCAAGAGACTTGTCATCTTCATCAGTGAAAATGTGCTTATCCAAAGATCCATTTGACATGAGATCATACACGAGAGCTTGTTTTGAGCCTTCAAAGCAAAAACCAACAAGTTGCACTATATTAACATGATGAATTCTTCCAATAGTAGCCACTTCACTGATAAAATCTTGGCCATGGGCCTTGGACTGCTTCAAAATCTTGACCGCCACTTCATTGCCGCTTCTGAGCGTTCCTTTGTACACAGAACCATACCCCCCTTCACCTAGTTTGTGCTTGAAATTCCTAGTGATCTTCTTACTATTCGAGTAAGAGTACCTTATGGGTAAGAAATTGTTCTGAGCTTGCAAAAATTCTTCAATGTTCTTGTCCATTGCTAAGTGCCTTCTTCGGTAGTTGTAGATTAGAAATACCACAACAAATGGCATCCCGATTGCAAATTTCGCTACACAGAAATACACTGAAGGAATTTTGATAGGTTAGAATATATTTTCTTTATTTTTTGTGAAAACAAATCAGTACGGCTTACCTAGTAGAAACGTAACATTCCAGAATATAGAAAATGCAATTGCCCCGTCACCTGCGGAAGGAATGAATGACGTGATAAGGACTTGAAGGAAAAGAAGTTTGGAAAACAAAACTCTCGAGGACACAGAGTAGTAGCAAATTTCTTTGTATAAGTTCAATTTTGTGCAAAAGAAATTGAGAAAGTGGGATTTGTGCATCTGCAAATCAATGGAAATAATACGCTTCTTCGTCTCATATGGATGATAGATGATACAAGTAACTCCATTTGCTTTGTTAGCGGTCAACGAATATAGAGAAATAGTGATTTCCTTTTTTAATCAATAATTTATTTCCTCTTATTGATATATGAATACAACCTTTTAAGGAATTTGCTAACGAGTGTCCTTCAAATTATTAGATAAGTGACTAATTAAGGAACTAATTAGGAAAATAAGATAATTCGAACTCTATGCCAAAAAAAAATAACTAGTCGTGTGGCTGCTAGCACGATAAACCATGTTTTTTTCGCATAGGGAGTTCTAGCTTTTATGTGGAAAGGAATTGTAATCTAGGCACATTTATATGTGCAAATGAGTCTGTTTAGGATGACTTCTACTGTCACTTTTTTTTTTCCTTTTTTGCCCATCTTGCAACTCCAACAATTTGATTTTAATATGTAACGCAAAGCTTCCAAAACCTTTCAAATACACAAATGTTGACATATACTAACACGTAAATTTTGTCATAATTTTCTTGGATTTTAAATATATCTTTCATTTTCCAGTTTTGAAGAGAAGGTAGCAAGCGAAAGAATGCTCAGAATCATGCAAAATTTTCGTAAAATTTGATTGCCAACCGAAACTTACCGAAGCGGTAGCCCTTGAAGCCGCAAAAAGCCTGAGTTGTCCAGATCATGTGATAGAGATCAAAATAGCAAAAGAAAGTGTCCATCGATGAAGTAGAATAAAAGGTGAGAATAAATCCATTGGCCATGATGTTATGGATTCGCTCGTAGTTGTAGGAGCTGCTCGGAACCTCCCATTTGGGTACCCACGTCCAACTGTGAATGGTACAAAAATCCCTAACATCCGATGCTATAGGTTCGACCACAGCATACAAGTTCCAATTCGATGGTGTGTTGGAAGAGTACGACCCCTTAATGCATAAATCGGTAGAGATGTAGAATGGAGAGCTAACCGGCTTTGAGCAGTTCACAATAACCAATATACTTTGGCCGTACATGCTGTATGAATCATTTTGATAGTAAGTGGTAATGTACCTATACCCAAACAATGAATGACGAGGGAGAGACGAGCAGTTATCCTTTTGCAGCCCGTCGTCAACCAATGTGATTTCGTAACTGTTATAATCGATAGACTGCACATAGTATCGGTCATCAAGCAAGTACAGAACAATGCGATTATCTTCACAAGCCAGCTCAAATTTCGAGACACTGCATCCTTTTGGATCGCTCTTCAGTCGAAACGGATAACTTATATTTCGAATATTACCACAAAACGAAGTGCACTGTTGATTACTCGGCTCAACACTGCTAGTCATAGCTAGAAATAGAACAAGAGTGAGTAGCAACACTTGACAGATATTCATGGAGCCGAGAGCACTCATCATGCCTCTGTTTGTCTTTGGGCAAAGAGAAATTGGTAAAGAATTGCTGGTGGGTGTGGAGGAGGCGCAATATAAAAAGATATGAAGAGATTGGACGATCCTTGTTTGCCTGGAGACTTGGGAGTTGCCTCGTCCTATATAGAAAAGCCCAAGTCAGTCAACAGAAAAAATGGCTGGAAAGTCAAGAAATTAAAGGAGGTGGACCCAAAACGAGGTTCCATTACTAGTGTTGTGTTGGTCTTTCTTCTCCGCGTTTCTTCCACTCTCTCCACATCCCATCGACGAAGAAATCCATCTCTCTCCCTCCTCCCCAGCTCTTCTTTCTGATAGACCATCTTTTCTTCTTAGTTTCTTCTTCGTTCTTTCCTCCTCCCTTCTTCTTCTCCATCTTCTTTCTTCATCGCCCCACGGTCATAGTAAAATTTGATGTAAAGTTTTGAGAAAGAAAATCAAAAATTAAAATCTAGAATAACGAATGAGGCAAGGTACATAGGCGTGGAGTTGAGAGGAAAAATCATGTCCCACTCAGCCCGTGAGCAATGAAAACTTGGTGTGCTTCATATGTGGACGAGGATCAACAAGGATATGAACAATCAATAAAACAAAATCAATCAAGTCGAGAATGTTACGGGAGTAGCGAGTAGGACCCGACAGAGCATCAACGGAACAAACGGATGCAAAGTCAAGAAATTAAAAGAGCTGGACCCAAACTGAGGTTCCATTATTGGTGTCGTGTTGATCTTTCTTCCCCTCTCCACTTGATCGGTTGGTCCACATCCTGTCGACAAAGAAATCCATCTCTCTCCCTCCCTCCCCGTCACTTCTTTCCGATACACCATCTTCTTCTTAGTTTCTTCTTCGTTCTTTCCTCCTCCCTTCTTCTCCATCTTCTTTCTTCACCGCCCCACGGTCATAGTAAAATTTGATGTAAAGTTTTGAGAAAGAATATCAAAAATTAAAATCTAGAATAACGAATGAGGCAAGGTACATAGGTGTGGAATTGAGAGGAAAAATCATGTCCCTCTCATCAGCCTGAAGCTCAGTTTTGCGATTGATTGGGGTGGATCGGTGGGCAATTACTTTGTCAGGGTCTACTGCTTGAAGATATTGAATTCGAGAATAATCATCTGGTTCGTCTGTCTATATAGATTTTGTTGCCGCTTTGGAGTTTGACTTGATTTTGCGGTTCTGGTCATGAACTTGGAGTAGGGATGTTTGTCGAGGGGTCTTCTTAGTGATAAAAAGGGTCCTCTGGCATTCCAGACATTTTGATACGGCAAAATGTAAGGTCTCTTTAAAGCAAATTTAAAAGAGACGGAATGGATGATCCTTGTTTGATTGGAGACTTGGAGTCGCCTTGCACCGTAGAAAAGCCCAAGTCAGTCAACGTAATAAATGGCTGAAGTAGAGAAAATTGAAAGATCACCTGCAGTTACAGCGGATCTACGACATTTACACCCATTGAAAATTCAAAAGATCTTAATTCACATATGATCTCTCTTTGATCTCTTATCGCCGCGTTTCTTTCCCTCTCTCCACTTGATTGTTGGGTCCGCATCGCATCAACAGCCAAATCCATCTCTCCCCCTCTCTCCCCATTGCTTCCTTCTGATACACCATTTTCTTCTTATTTACTTCTTCGTTTTTTTTGGAAAATTACTAAAAAAATAGTAAACCTATTATAATTATATCAGTCTTAAATCTTTCAATTTTGCTAACTTAATTCTAAACATTTTGACAATTTACAAATTCAGTCCATCCAATCAATTTTGGCCGAAAATCATTGACTGGAATGCTAGCCGTCGTGCGAAGCACCATTGACACTAACATAAACAATTTTTATAATTTTTTAAATTTTATGAATTTTGTTCTCTTTTTTGTGTTTTCATTGTTACTATATTGCAAGGTCGGCCTCGGCTTAGGGTGGGCTTACTCGAAGCTCACCTTCACTAGATCCGGGGAGGGTCAAGTCTCATCGATCATGGGCGAGGACGAGAGATTCATGAGATTCCAGGTGAGGCTGAGTTCTTCTTCATTGAAATCGAAGCAGCCAGTGCTCCGATCATTGTCAATTTCGTGGTCAGGGAGTAATCTTCACAGAAAGAAGGTCGTCACGGATCGATTGAAGCTGTGCCCAAGAGAGGGGCTGCTCTAGGGTTTTGCATCAATTTGCAGCAGGTGCAAGCGGACTCAAAGTTTGCCCTTTTTGCATTTAACTTCTTGTTTGGTATCTGGGTTACTTTTCTGCAATGGTGATTGTTTGCCGGTGGTTGGGTGAGGCACGACCTCACCAAATCCAGCGAGGTCGTCATAATGAAAATGCAGAAAATAAAAAAGGGAAAAAATAAAAAAAAAATCATAATTTTTTAAAAATTATAAACATTGTCCAAGTTTGTGCCAACTCCATCGCGTAAAATGACCTACATTCACGTCAGCAATTTCTTGCTAAAATTGATCGAATGAACTGAATTGGCAAATTATCAAAAGGTATAGAACTAAATTGGCTAAATTAAAAGATTTAGGACTGGATTAGCACAATTGCAATAGGTTTAAAACTTTTTTGGTAATTTTTCCTTTTTTTTAATTTCTCTCTTCTTCTTCCACAATATGTTCTTTCTTCACCGCATGAGTCACGATCATAGGCAAACCACCAGCAACGGTTGCGCATCCGTCACACCTAGCCACGCCGCCGCATCGCCGACCTAGCTCACCACCTGTTGTGAAATAACTTGAAAAATAACTGTCATGTAATTTAAGTCTAATGCCAAAAAATAGATTACGTGGTTCAAGTGTCAATATCTATTTCACAAGGAGAGCCAATTATCAAAAATCTTTTATAAATTCGAAGAGAAAGCCCACTAGTATCTTAATACTAATTTGTGAAAGTTAGTATCTAATGTGACTATAACCTATCTATTAATATTGATACTTCCATGCGTGGAACTAAACTAATAACACCCGATCGATTTTTCGAAAATACAAAAAGGTTTAGATAGTTTGGGATCTGCCTCACCCTCGACTATAACGTTAAGGTGTCAATAGAGCACCAATTGCCCATTTGAGTGCTAATGGAGGAGCTCAAAATCAACAATACACCTAAGCCTAGACACGCCCATCACAGACTAACCTAGGTTTCCTGAAGCCGACGAGAGAAATCGAACCTGCAACTTTCGTCTTGCAACTCCTTTTTATTTGCTCTTAAAATTTTTATCCAACAACTCATTTTTCCACGAAAACTCGCACTTCAAGGATGTCCTATCCTCAGACCATTTGCGTATAATCGGATCAGTATGGAAAAGTCCTCAGGATTAGCCTCGGACAATTATATTAGACACCCACATTTCGCATGCTTTCAAAAGGAAAAAAGTTTCATTTCCCTTTCCATTCCAAGAATGTTAACTGCCAGATCTGGGGAATAGATATGCAGTTTCGAACAGATTTGTAGTTTATTGATATCTTCTTTCAAGCATTTCTAAGGCTTTGTTCATTGAAGGTCGCTGGTCAAGATCTGATCGTATATGCTCTAGATTGCAACTCCCATCATCTTCCTCGAGGTTTCTGTATCCTCACCCATTTCGAAGTTTCTCCCGTCATTGACTCCGTCGTATGCCACAAGTGGAAACGAATTTGGCTCGAACTTTCTTAAGTTGCATTTAGGATATCATTCTTCCTGTCATTTTCATTAGCAACGCGGCAATGCTGTAGACATCAACTTTATAAGAGACGCCACCAATGCTCTTGTAGAACGACTCCAATGTCGTACATTGAAAAGTTTCTCTAGCTGCAGTCAAGGAAAGTGTCGTGATTTGAGAGTGAAGTTTTACGAGTCCAAAGTCGGATATTTTGGGAGTATAATTCTTCATCTAGATGGATGGTGACACTATGAGGTTTGATATCAAAGGGTTGGATTTGACTTGGGCAAGGTTGATGTTGATCTTGGATTGTCATGGGCCAGGCTTGCACAAATTTTGTTTTGGGCCAATGGGCATTCGATCTGATTGATTTTCTATTCTGTTTAATTTCCTTTCTCACTTTGCAAATGCAAAGATCATTAGATTCAAGAAAATTTGTCAACGAAGGTCAGTGCGAGCGTTGAGATGACGAAGAGAATTTCACGCATTAAATTCCCCTTTTTTTCTGTCTATTTGCTTGAATTGTACATTTGTTTCTGATTTGAAAGACTTAATTTTCATCGCCTCTTTGTAGACATTGCACATTGATAATATCCAGTTGATAGTTTGAGAAGATGAGTTCGAGGGGATTCTTTGACTGATCACTACTAGTGTATTGACTTATTAGCTAGGAAAAGAACCTGCACACATGGTTTTGTTATCTTCAGGTTTGGCCCTTCCTATGTGCTTTGATGTTTTGGAATAGCAGGCAGCCATATGCTGATGGATCTGTTTTCTAGGATTGACCTACTCTCCGATTACGCGTATTGCATTCAGTGGCACACTTAGGATCTGAGTGATTAATCTATCAATCGCGTTGTCTCCGATGATTTTGTCGGCAGCAGATTGATCAAGGGGCGTTGATTATGCCACAAGCAGTCCTCTTGTTTTTTTACGAGGTATGGAAGTTTAAGAAAATGGGAAGATAGAGAGCAGAAGTTGCAATGAACTTTCCTCTGTGGTAGCCTTTCTTCACGGGTGATAATATGCACCATGCACCTTCTGGTCGAATTGGTGACGCAATTTCGAAGAGTAGGAATGGGGCTCCCCTGTCATCATCTGAATTCTGATGCAGTGTGGCTTCAAGTTGCAATTTTGCTGATGAATCACGAGAGCGAGAAAAAGGAGAAATTGTTGTTATTCAAAAGTGAATCTGAATGCTTGCTGAATTTCGAGTCCCTGAAGCTCTTCGACATCAGAGCGTGTGAAGTAGAAGCAGCTAAGAGTAGCCTCGGCTGCGGGAGGGATCGCAGGTCGCGCATTTGCACAGTTTTTGGCTCCTAGTTTGAGGCATCATGCCGCCGAGCTCGGTTGGACTTGAGGTTGCTCGGCCATGAATTAAGATTCCTAGTATGTTGGAGACATGGATGCTCATTGAGTTTGCAGAATCTGGATTAGCTCGTCTGGTCATGATGGCAATGTGATGATTGATTGTGGGACAAAGTTTCATGCGGTACACGATTCTTTTTTGTGTTGTTTTCAATGGCTTTGTTCTAGTTTGAATGAGAATTCTGAAATCTAATTTCTTGTACTGCAGACGATCTAAGCATAAATTGCACAAACTTTTTTTCTTTTTTTTTTGTCAGAAAAGCAGCACTTTCAATCATCAAGAAGAAGTTTGTGAACACAATCCCGCTTCAGAAAATAGGCCTAATTTAAATAAAAAAAAACACTAAGTTTACCTTGAGTAACAATTCTGGCCCGAACTTTTTTTGTCTCGTAAAAAAGCACAAACTTTCACTTAAATCCCAAATATGGCCCGAACAATTTGAAAATTTCACATCATGGGGGCTAGATTTGGGACTCGAGTAAAAATTGGTGCTTTTTATTGAGATAAAAAAAAAGTTCGGGCCACAATTATCACTCAAGGTAAAGTTGATGTTTTTTTCTTTTTATGAAATTAGCCCTCAGAAAATCAAGAACTGATCTGTTGCTGCCTCTTGAACTCAGCATGGATCACTTGGGAGATTACCGCGGTTATCACCGAAGCCCAATCTCTTCTTCGGGCATTTCCTCATCTTAAAGAGAACCCAATAGAGTTGTAGATCGGGTGGTTAAAGCCCAAGGAGCAAATAGCTTGCCCGCGAAACTGGATCTACTACCCTCCTCCGGCCCTATGAGAACTCCTTTGTTCTGAAATTGCACAAATATAAGTTATTGGTTTTCTGGCCCAAAAAAAAAAAACTTAATTATTTTCATTTGATCAGTTTTTGTTTTTGGGCGCAGCCCATTATAGAAAACACGCGCAAATCATCATGCAAGGAATTTCGACGGCAAATTTAGTTATAAACTTTAGATTAGTTCAATCCTAAACCATTTGACAAATTGTTAATGTCGTCCTTCAAGAAAATTTTAGCCGGAAATCGTTGACGTAGACGCCGGCCATCCTACGTGGCACGGCCAACGCTGACGTGAATAATTTGTGCAATTTTTTTCTTCTTATTTTTTCATTTTTATTTTTCTTTCTTTTCTTCTTTTAAGAAGAAAATTTTATAAATATTCAAAAAATGTTCATGTCAACCACGCCCGACGTCCACGTCAGTGATTTTTGGCCAATTTTAGTTGGAATGACTACATTGACAAATTGTTAAATAGTTTAGGACTAAATTAGTCAAATTGAAGAAGTTTAAGACTGAATTGGCATCTATACAATAAGTTTAGAGCTTTTTTGGTAATTTTCCCGATATGAATTTGATTGCGTTCAATTGAAAAAGGCAAAATAACGCTATCCTCAACATCTCTAACTAAAGCAATTCTAATTGCATGATTAATGCTCAAGAAACTTGAGTGCGAAGATGTTTTTTTTTTATATTTATTCATCATTAATAACTCTCGAAATCCAAGTAATTTATAAATTAGTTATATTACTACATCAATGCCATACGATACCTTCGATCCTTTGTCTAGGTTTGCTTGAGCATTTGAGGAAACATGCATAATGGGAAACGGTGAACCACTGCTGCTACTGTGGCAATATGAGCTATATAGATTGGAAGGATAGTGCCAGCGCGAAACTCCTTCCGCACAAGTGACGGTGAAGTTGTTTTGTATCTACAAACATAATCGACCCACACCCAAGATGTGAGAAACCCTTTTGGTAGATAAGAGTCTTGGATGGATCATGAAGACAAAACCTTTGATTCTCAGTGTTGGAGTTTTTTAGTGCCCAAATATATGTATGATTTTGAGAGTTGAACTGTTTATTCTTTAGCGCTTTAGCATCGACTTTGTGTGAATGGCCGTAGGAGCCATTCAGATTCGAAACCAGAGCCACATCCATCGTCATTTGGTTCAAATTGTTAATGGAGGCACATGGAAGCATCCCAGGCATCAGGTAGAATGTCTGCGGGAAAATTTCAGGGCCGATGGAGGGGAGATATCAGTGCTAGTGATGGAAGAACTCACTAAGTCGTGATGGCCTCAATGCACCCGATACAGAAACGACATAGATATATGCGAATACGAGCATCTACATCTCTTTCTCGACCACCATTTATTGTTCAACAAACCTATGTACAGATCATGGCGGCAGCTACTGGTCTATAAAGGAGTGTTACTACGGTGGATCTAGAGAGCAGCTAGTTTGTGGGAGTTGGGGATTCCGTTTACTGAGTCGTAACCTCGACAAACTTTCTTCATCGCCTTCCTTGGCTCTCTTTGTGAAACTCTCTGGTATTCCTCTGGAACGGCTATTGCGGCCCAGTTATTGGCAGTCAGTGCCCAACATTTACTGTCTCTTGGGAGTGTCACATTCCTCGGTCTTTGCGAATCTTCCACGAATCCTGGGTTGACTGTCCGCGAGCGCCTTCCTGCATGCATACTGAGAACAGCACGATCCATTAATGTACTGGAGAAGCCAAGGCACACTTACTTGAAGGAAATGATGATAAACGATGCAAATAAGAGATGTGTATAAAGCATCTATGCAAAATGTTAGGGAGTTGATTCTCTCGTTTGTGGGCATTCACTTACTGAACTTCTGAAGAACTTCTCATATGATTCGAGATAATGTACAAAAGGTTCTCTGCATGAGGGATCATTAGTAGAGGGAATTACATAGAACGAGTGTCAGCTACTCAACATCAAGTGTGAAAATTATCATTTGCACTGGCAGTGTACTGGACAATATCCTTAGTTTTTCATATAGATACACGGCAACAAATTATGTAGCAACACGATGTTTGAGTAAAAAAAAAACGCCACACTTAAACCAACTTCACATGCAACATAGAAAGCCATGTCGGCAAATCAGTTAGTTAATATACCTTGATCTTCCTCCCAAAGTTCCTCTTTGTTTTCTTGTTTCTGTATCTTGAGAGCTTCTCCCGGCGTTCTTCACTGGTGCAGTTGCTGACGATGATCGGCTGCTCAAGTGGAGAACTGATGAGGCTCACATTACAATTACCAAGAGTCTGCCATAAAAACTCAGTATCAATGACCCAGCCCTATCCTGTGGAGATAACCAGAAACATCTAAAAGTTTCTCAGTCCATAGACTTTGTCACATAGCCAAACAATCTCAAATGAAGATAACAAGTCACCAAAATTTGGTGTCTTCTTCAGGCACAGTCAAATATACATATGCATATGATAGATGACAGCAATCAGAAATAACTAGTGAAACGGCAATAGACGTGAAACAAAGGCAAGATAACCGATTTTCAGGCCAAAAAAGGATGCCATACACAAAAACAGAGTTGAGATAAACCCAAACATTTTCAATCTGAGATTTCGAGCCCAAAATGAAGTGCACTGTTGAAGCTAAAAAGCAAAAACCCACTGATGACACGCACAACAGAACTGAGAACATCATGCAAGGTAAATGACTTTGACCTTTATGTCTCCTTCACTGAATGCCCTTCTCATCCCGTAAACAGCTCCAAGATCGAGTCCGGAAAAATCCAGGAAACTCGGCTTCACTGCAGCCCCGTGCATCCATTCCATTGAGGTCAGGCTTCCCGAGCTCACACTCTTCTGAAACGGCACATCAAAAGACAACTCATCCTTTAGGGATTCGTTTTCATCTATCCTCATAGGAGGTAGCTTTTCATCGAAAATTCCAGCTAGTGGCGCATCCATCCCTGCTTTCTCCAGGAGATCCTTCTTACAATCATAGAAGACCTCACTGAACAGCGGGTCATTCTGAAGCGACATAAAATCAGCAACCTTCAGTCCTTGAGGCAACATGACGTCTTCCCCGCTGGACATCATCGAAATGGCTGCTGTCATTGGATCAAGGCCCACAACCGGCTGCGGTTCTTCTATAATGGGCTCTGGAGCTTTGAAAAGATCCCCTTCTCCACCGAGGTCATATTCTGATATGGCGGAGGCTTGAATTAGGTTTCCCTTCAATGGAAAACAAATTGGAAAAAGAAACAAAAAATAGGATTAGGGAAATTCAAAGACATGAACATAATATAAATACAAGACAAGCCATGAGTCAAAAGGATTGCCATAGAAACTTCTCTAGTATGTGCAGAACATGATATAAAGTTTGGCAGATAACAGTTCAAGGGTAGCTACTACTTAAAACATCTCACTCATGCACGCTGAAGCAGGACTCTAAAGCATCAACAATGGACATCGACAACATTTTGGATCTTCAATGATCATGCTGCAACATATGATGGCAATACTTATGGAGATCCAATGCTAATCATCATAATCAAAACTTGGCCCGGCATCATCCTCTTCTACCAACTTCTCATCAGCCTTTCAAGATGAAAGACAACTACAAATCTGAAAATCTGTGATTCTTTTTTCCTAAAATTGCGTCCTTAAAAGGCTCCACGCGATAAAGGAAACAATCTACACTTCTAGATTATTTTGTCATCAGATGCCTCCGTAGCTTCAAGAGGAAATAACCACAAGAAAACTTCTGCATGCTTCATCAGTCTCGGTATTTAATCCTGTGCTCATCCAAATATAGCTTAATGTTTTGGCCAGGAGCTGACAGTTGAATGAACTGATTCAAAAGCTAATTTCTGAATCTCCAAAACATATCCTTTCGCAAAAAATCACCAAAAACACCACGTGGCAGGAAACAGAGACAGAGACAGCGCGCACGGTTTTTGTCAAAATCTAATTACTTAACAAGCACTAGATATAGTTCGCTCACCGGAAAGAGCATTCCACTATAGGCAAAAGCAGAGACCCATTGCAACCCTTTCAAGGACCATCAGCTTTCCTTTATTTTTCTTTCTACATATGGCGTTTAAAAATAATAATCTCACATGATATAAACATTAAGTGGGAAGTTAGCTTTTGCTTTTTTCCAAAAACCATTACTTTCTATTTTATTTGTTCTCTAAGTAAGTGCGTTTCCTTTTTAGCGGTGTACTCACGAGTCCCATAGAAAGCCAGAGAACCTACCAATTGGGTCTGAACGCACATCGAAACTTCGAAGCAAATGGAAACAAGGTTATCGAACACGGAACTTGGATACCAAGATTTTTTCCTATCTATATGCTTTGTTTCTTATCCTTTTTTAGGTCCAGCATGTAAAGGGAAGTCCAATTGTTCCACTAATGCTCTTTCGTGAATAACCTTTTGCTGGAAAAGGTAAAGAGAAGCTTTCGATTATGATAAATTCAAATACCCTCGTGAACAAGAACACAAAGCAGCCACTGCATTACAACATTTTTCTTTAAATTTTCATATTACAAGCAAATTGATCAAGTTCAAGACCGTGAAGAAACTGTGAAGAAACGATCAGATAGGCAAGAGAACACCCAATTTCAGTTCTTCCTCAAACCAATCTGAGCAAACAAATCAATGATCAATGACTCGACATGAGCATAAAATTCAATGCTTCATTCACAAATTTTCTTCAAGAAAAAATAAATCGAAAGTTACTTTCAGCAGACACCCAGATGATATCAACAGAGGCAAGAAGAACCAGAGAACCAGCAATATGATTGTCAATTCACACAGGGCAACAACAGAACAGAGTAATAAGAGTAATCATGAAGTATGTATATGCATGCACAGATGTGGAAGAAGAAGTGAACTGATTAGAGAGAGAGAGAGAGAGAGTACCAAAGAGGCATTTGACTTGTGGGATTTCCAAAACTCCTCAATCTGTTGAACTTCCTGTGACAAGTTCTGGAAGCAAGGGAACATCAGCCCTGTCTCTGCATACATTTCTTGAAAACCAAAGAAACCCCCAGAATCTCCACACGCAAAAGGCTCTGTTTTTCCCAGGCACAGACCTTCAACTACCCTCAGAAGGCCAGGACAGAGCAAGCAGCAGCAGGGCACCGCAGCTCGATCGCCTCTGTTCTGAAGGGTGTTGAATAAAAAGACTTCAATGAGGAAAGAGGGTCACTTATATAGAGAGAGAGGCACTCGAGGGAGACATCCTTGCAATGATGCAATGGAAATTGAGGGCTGGTTTTTATATCGCAAAGGACAAATGATGGAAAGGGACCCCATCGTTTCTCTCTTTTATGTTAATGCAAGTGTGTCCCCATTCCCTCGTCATGTTCATGCCGTTTCTTTACTAAAAAAAATTCCTCTTCCTTCAATTACTTCTTCTTCCTTTTCAATTTGGAAAAAGACAAGAAGGGTAATTTCCGGATTATTCAAACTGCAAATTGCAGAGAGGTTGGATGAACATGGCCGAAAATTGTGGACGCGTTTGGGGGGTCGGGCAGTGCTCTGCTGCTCATCAGTCGTCTGATGCCAGAGCTGGGGGCCACCCCGCCTTTCACTTCGCGTGAAAACGGAGAGAGATTACTCCATCCGCCTAATAGCCGAGAGATTCCGGTCCTAATGAACTTTGTCATGTTCTGTTAAAAAAAAAAAGGGGAAAAAACGCCTAGTCATATCGATTTCGTCTTAAGCGCCATTCATTTTACGGCCATGAATGACTCGAAAAAATACTTTTATAAGAGCTTCACCTCTCAAGCATCTGGGATTCGATATGACCTAAAATAAATGCGCGACATGTGAATCCGTCTAATCCAAAAGTTCAAATAATAATAAATCGGAAGATGGGTAAGGCAACTTTTGAAAGATTGAATATAAAAGTCCCGCGCTTTCATTGATTAAGTCAATCGAGTCGAACCCAAGATTGCTTGATAATATCTCAATCACCGACCGGATATGAGGATTAAAAAGGCTAATTTCACGAACGAGTATTATCATGTTTTTATCTGCATCATAGGTACAAGATATTAACACTTAACACGAACTGAGACGCGTTGATAAAAGAAATAGAGGGTCTCTATTCAACTTCTCAATTTAAAGTTGTTATGTTCTGAAGCTAGTACTTTGTTTTCTCGCACTACTACTTAATGAAAGTTATGAAATTTTTTCGAAAAAAACAAAACTTCTGGATAGCTCCAAAAGCATGAGAAGGATATCATCTTGCATGTCTAGTCGTAAATAGTAAATAATGTGCATGATGGGCCCTGCGCCACTTTGCGAGTGCGAAAAAAATCTACGTATATGTGCTTGTCATGACATAATTGAATGCTATTGTGTAAGAATATACAGGACTTTCATATAATGTAGCTGCAATTTGTTTTATTTGACATTCAACAAAAGGTTTTTATATTTTTGAAAAGAAAAATATATATATTTTTTCAGATGAAAATACAGTCGAGATGGGTACCGATAGAATCGGTTACATAATCTATCATCTTCATAGCAATTTTTTTTTATTTTCATAGTAAAAAAGTGATTCCATATATTTATAATTGTAGATTATTGGAGGGAAAATTTTATCGCTAAAAGACCGCAAATCTCTTCTGTTTAAAAACGTGCATTCTTATTCTTCTTTACGACAGAAACCGATCGTTATTCCTTGAAACTATTTTCAAGATCACTCAAGTTATCTCGAAATTCCCTTCTTTTTGTCTTTTAATTGTTCGCAGCAGCTTTGGCGAGATGATTACTTCATCTTCATAAGCTATTAGTTCACGTAAGCCTCGAGTATTAGCCTTGTAGACTTGAAGTGTGCAAGACATTCGGTCAAGAAGTTGGGATGGACCCGCCTTTGGTGGAAATTGCGAAAGGAGTCGCTGTTTGATTAAGACCGGCGAAATGAACTCAAAGACTTTTATTCAGCAGCGTGCATTAGGTCTCTTTTCTTAAAAGCAAGCGCACACGATTCGCACAGATCATGTAACGAGTCGACCTCGCAGAAACAATCTGGGAGGTATAAAACTTCTGCAGCTGTTCGGCACCTCCTAAGCTAGCCTTTCATTACGACCTCCACATCATGGTTTTCTTTCTATGCGTAATACCGAAATATCGAAACAGTATGCTCGAGCTAATCCCAGTGAAACGCGACAGCGTTTAATCATTTGAGCAACCCCTTTCCCCGATTAGAAAAAGGGAAAAAAGGGAAATTAATATGCCAAGCCGGTCAATATCAAGAAGTAAAAGTAAGTTAATTTGTCTATCAACCCTCTTTATCAATATTTGATTTGACATATACTCACATTGCCGGTCACTATCGTAATCCTCTTAGTGTGTAATTTTTTTTATTATTTTGTGCACGAAATAAATTTCTTTAACTATATATATACCCACAATTCCAAGAGGCCATGTGAATAAGAGCTATCATGCTATTGCCATGCCACTGACAAGGAAACCCGAATTATGTTCTACGATCAACAATTGGTCTACAAGGACCTTATTTAGCAATAGCAGCATCGAACCATCTTATGAAAAATGTATCACCTTCAATGGAAGAAAGGGTCATTTAAAGAAAACCTGTCCGATCCATCATAGACTATCAAAACCAAGTAGTTGCTTTGCTACTGCTGACAATCCACCTAATTCCAAAATTGAATAATTGGGGCTTGAATTCCAAAGGGGAACGCATGCTTAAGCCAATATTTCCAGCGTTAATCAAGGACGAAATAATACCCCACTTTGAAAAAAATAACGAAAGAGGACAAATTTGGGCGTGTCCCTTGGTGAAAGCCTAGAGAAAAGGAGTGAAGAAAAAGGAGAAAGCAGAAAATGAAAATGAGGGTATTTATTTGATATAGAATAGCTCAATTTTATTTCCTTTTACTTCGGTTGTAATTTCAGACAGTAACTCTCGTACTATTTAGTTTCTACAAAGGTGAAATACCTAAAGAGCTAGATTTACTTATAATAAACTTCATTTGACCAGTAAAATAAGTCCAAAGAAATTATTCTTGTGAAAATACACAAATCATTTTTCGTGGCCTACATGTCTTGGAAACTTCTGCTTTGAATTGTACCGAGTTTTCTTTTTTCTTAGGCTTCGGTATAAAGCTGGAAAATTCGATCACGGAATGAAGCAAAGACCGACGTCGTCGACCATTGTTTTCCCCCTTTGATAATACAAAAAAGAAAAGAAAATGAATTTCATGAGCTGTGTAGATGTATACCCATTTAAGATTCTTCCTTCCAATTTGATGATAAAAATATTCAAATTCTCTTCCAATGTGGAAAGGCCTGTTCCCACCATGCTGCAAATGGGCATTTTTAAAAACGTTTCTTCAAAAAGTGTACAGCCAGCTTTTGTCCCCATCTCAAACTTAACTCGCCAAGTTAAAGAAGGGAATAACATGGATGCCCCTAATGGAATTGACTGTGTCACCATTGGGAGGAGGAACTAGTCTCAGATTTTATCGATTGAACCTTGACCATCCATTGACTTATTTTTCTTTTGTATATGCCAAGATCTTATGAGGTGAATTCAGCCTTTCGATTTGCCCTCAGATCGAGCAAATCTATATCCGAAATAAGAGACGATGAGTCTATGGAAGATCATGACTGAAGCCCTCTTTACATTTCTTCGATGGTGTTGTACGTATCGCGTAATATACCCTAGAAACGTTTGTCCATAATGAGTGATGAAAACTCAAAGGGGAGAAAAGTACTATCTTTAATTACTGTTTATCCACTTTGAAGAAAAGCTTTTCTACAGCCTATTTGTTATTGGCAAATGACAGGAGAGAGAGATTCTCAAGAGGGAAAAGTTCCAAGAAGTTTTCTTTCTATAGGGTAGGATTCAATGATAATTGGCGTAGCATAGCCTTTTAGTTTGAAAGAAAGTTGATGGGAATAACTTATTGTTGGGCTGTAAAGGGGGAGAATTTCAACCCTAAAGGAAGAGAAAGGAGAAGTATATGCTCCAATTTTGGTAATGAAGAGTGATGAAACGTGCACTTTGGGGCGACTCTTGCGGCAGTACGATTGAACCTCAAATTCCCACATTTGGAAAAAGAGATTGTAAAGGGGAAGCTCCATGGGAGCTTTAGGTGCGCAACACTTGTTGACCGCAAGAAGCAGTAGTTCCGATCAATGGAATGCGTACGCGTGTTGCGGCAGCATTGCGACGCTTGGCGGCCATACAACGATATTGACATCTTGTTGACTTTAGCAGACAAAAGATGGGCAAATAGACAAAAAAAGATGCCTTTGTGTTTCAACGAGGCTATTGGGAAATTATATGCCAAGGGGTTGGAGCCACATGATTCGACGTTGGTAGTAGAATACATTGCACCATCCTATTTTTTTAGTCAAATTATTATTATTATTGTTTTTTTGGTATCATTTTGTGATATTTATAATGATAATTGTGGAATAATATGCATTTTTGGCTAGAAAATATAAAGAGAGGACAAGATGAACGATGGAGAATGCCGGCCGAGCGAGGAAACGCCAAAGGCGGATGCCAAATTTCATGCACTTTGAGTTTTGGTGGAAAGAATCAGTTTATGTAGTTTCCAGCTATTATTTTTTCACTATATGGTATTCATGAAAATGGAACCTTTTCTTGTCATTGCTTAAAGCAATTTTACGTATGAAATTCACCCGATTTAGTAATTAAGCACGTGTGCATGCATCTCTATTCATTCAAAATATATGTTTGCTGCAGTTCAAATTAAGTTTCAATCTTTTTGAAAAAATATTATCGATGTGTCGTTAATCATTGGTGGTGAAGAATCAACATGGTAGTCCCAACATTAGGTGAAGGGACATTTCTTTTTGTCTGTTTTGTGGCAAACTAGTTGAAGAGATTGAAACCCTAATCTTCTTTTTCTTGGTTGGCCAACGAGCATTAACCTTTCGACGTGAGCTTTCTCTCGAGAGTTAGGAGGAGTGAACTTAGGAACGGTGGTGATGGGAGAAGACGAAAGAGATGGGCCTAAAAGGAAATAACACACAGCTGGAGAGGATTGTCTGCTAGTGCCCTTTTGTTTTATCTTTAAGATGATGAATTGCAATTGGAATTGCCATTGGTTTTCCAATTGGGACCCTCGTGTATCCCTCAATGTGGCCCAAAAACTTGAAGACCCTTTTTGGATTCTTTCGGGATGGGAGCATATATGAAGTGATGAAAACTGA